CCTTCCACTATTTTGAATCAAAAAAAACTCCAAGTCAAACAGCCTTACAGAGGTCTTACCAGTTTGAAAAGATAACAATAAATCAAAATTCCTTCTTTGAAATAGTTTCATTTAGTTTAGTCAAGAACTCCATTCAATTTTCCTTTCAGTAAAGCACTAAGATTAAATTAGTGAAGCACTAAATTAAGAACAGGAAAACCTGGAAAAAACTCAACAAGTCAAACAGTATCTGTGGAGCATCAACATTTCAGGAAGATTGTCATTAGAAAAGTCTGCAACTTTTTTTGTCATATTCAATTGCTGGTATTAGTAGCTCAAAAAACAACTGTTTATATATAAATGCAATGTGACATCCACTTCGACTTGCAAGATTCTTATTTTAGACCCAACAGAGCTTCTTTGTTGTTAATTTTAATAAATTATGACACAGCATCCTAAGAATCAAAGCTGATTGTGTTGTGAATTCTTACCACACATTCTCCTCCAAGGAAATCAGGGATCACTTCTTTATCTATGTAATCAACCAGACCTCCAGGCCCCTGATAGTCATTGCCCGCATAAATGAGGAATTTTTTTCTTGTATTGTCATCAATGAAAGGACTGACCTGGAATCAAAAAGGGCAGTATATCACAATTTACAATGCATGATAATTTAAACATGAAACAATTCATGATTTATTTCTCAGATGCTGAAACACAACTTACCAAAGTCCAAAGTACCGGAAACACTCTAGGTGCTCTAAGGATCAATAATCGACCCAGTGTTTCCGGATAGTTAGCTTCAACAACTTCAATGATTCTCAACAGTGCCTTAACACCAGGTCGCCATAGATGTCTCATATTTAAGCCTTCTAAATCCACTAAGCATGTCCATGAGCTATTAAACAAAAATGAATAATTAAGATCAGAACAATTTGAGATACTGATGAAGTTAAAGATAATATATATTATATAATAGATATGCAGTATACAAAGATGAAATAGTTTCTTCAGATAATGTCCTTTCTAATTACTGTGTACGTTTTCTTTTATTCATTCATAGGATGAAAGCGTCGCTGGCTACACCAACATTTACTACCCACCCTTAATTGCCTTAAGAGCAGTTAAAAGTCAAACATATTTGTGTGGGTCTGGAGTCACATGTAGCCCAGACCAGGTAAGGATAGCAGTTCCCTTTCCTAAAGGACATTAGTGAACCAGACAGGTTCTTCTGACAATCAACAATGGTTTCATGATCATCATTAGACTGTTAATTCCATATTTTTATTAAATTTAAATTCCACCATCTGCCACGGTGGGATTTGAACCCAGCTGCCCAGAATGTTGCCTGGTCCCTGGATTGGTTTAGCGATAATACCACCAGTCTGTTGCCTCCCGTACTAATTGATAATGGCACTAAGATTTAACTTGTGATTACCTGATTGGTCTTCCAAACACATTGGTATTTTCCTCACATCGTCTTAATCCTTCTTCATTAATAGAAAGAACCTGATTCAGAGCAAAAGCATCAACGAAGTAAGTTTGTGTAACCCCATTTAAAGCTTCTGCTTATTTTCTAAATTACTGTTTTAATTGTAAATACCCTCATATAAGAGTTTCTTTTTAAGAAAAACTATTTCCTTTTGTAGCCATTCACACATTGAGCATCATTTAATTAGATCCTACCTGAAGGTAATTTCTCCTTTCCACCTTGGTCTTGTAATTCTTAATACCTTTGCCAAATAAAAGCCGAGTGAGTTTTGAAATTTTCTACTAACCTAGTCTCGCCAGTTTTTTGGGGGAAGGGAGCTGCAGATTTCCACTTTTTTGTGTGAGAAAATGTTTTCTGAAATAATCCCTGAAAGGTGTAGCTTTAATTTTAAGGTTATGTTCCCTTGTTCTAGACTGCCCCACCAGAGAAAATACTCCATTAACTCTTATGATTATCTTAAAATTAGATGCAGATCTGAATCTTCTATATTTAGCGAATAAAAAGTTTTGCAATCTGTTCTCATACTTTGATGCTTTTTGTGTTCATGTCATTCTGGTGAATCTGCACAGTACATTCTTCCAAAGTTAATATATCCACCTGTATGTATCTTGGAATGAATGCAGTCTTCTAAATGGGATCTAAACAGACCTCTGTACTGCTGTAATGTTACTTCCATCCTTCTGGCAGAAATTGATTTGAATACGGTCACCATAACGTTGATCTATACTTGTGCTCCTCAGCTATCATTACAAAGGCACAGTATCCTTGGTCTCTTCTGCTGAACTGTGGTTTTATTTAATAGAAAATCTGAGATCTGTCATCACTGGGGACAGGATTGTCCAGTGGCATTGATCATTAGTAATTCTACTTGTTGGATGAATTTGTCCTTTGGATTTAAACACTGCTGACTATTAATCACCTCAGATTGAAAAAGAAACAATATTGGCATAGGTAAGGATACATATCTGTCCCACAGTTCAGAACAATTGCAAGAAAGCTGTTTTCGTTCTGATTGTTTAGACAAGCCACTAGAGACTGTTGTTTAAGAAATCTGTCAATCTCTGGCTAGCCTTTTTTTAGAGACACAACCTCTGAGCTAAGGACAAGCTTTGATCCACTGTTTTGACAGTTGAACTGTCAAGAGTTACTGGCATCGACTCCCAAGTGTGTTATCCACAGGCAGCTATAGAAGTCCTGGCTCCAGCAACAGAAATGTAATAGATGCAGAAAATATTGAAAACTTTTGAAAATTCATGCATCATTTCTCTCTCAGTACCTGGTCTTCTATTTATTGTCCGTTTTCTACAACTTCATATAACTTTGACATTAAATATTTCCCCACCCAAGACACGTTTGGTCCTCTCTATCCTGCATGTATTTCAAAGCTTCAGAACCTTGACTGAATGTGCACTCTGGCCAACTATGTAGGTTTGATTATCCTACTTCTGTCCACAGGTGCTTTGGTGGCTACTTCAAACCTAAGACCTTGAATTATTTCTTCATTACATCTATCTCTTGCTCTCTAGAACTTAATTTAATAAATTAGTGGCCATTCAATTTTCTTTCCTGGCTCCCATGTTAACTGATAACTATTGTTAGCTCTCTCCTCAAATAAAATTGATCCTGAGCCCTCGGTCTTTGGAAAATGACATATCATTTCTCTTTATTTGCAAAATTCCTAAGCACGTTTTTGCTTCCCAAACATATACTGTTCCTTTATCTTCAACACAAACAACATTTCCTTTGTCACCAACTCCTCTTCTCCCTGGAAACCTTTGAGGCTGAACCACACTGCATGCAAAACTTGTGCCATATTTGTCACCAGTACAATGATCCAGATACTCATCAAGAAATTCTATTTCCACCTCCGTTATATCATGTGACTCTATCAGCTGAAGCAGGGTCTGTTTCTTTGTGATCTCTAGAACTGATTATTCCAATGCACTTCTGTCTGGCCTTTCATTCCACGAAATGCAAATCTGAGGTCTTTCAAAACTCTACCTCTTGTACCCTCACTTGTATCTTGCTCATTGTGCTTTCTGATCTATACTGGCTTCAGGTCAACCAAAATCTTGGAATAATAATTTCCACCTTCATTTTCAAATTCCTCCCTACTTTTATAACCTCCTCTAGCTCTACAATACGGTCTAATGTCTAGATTGAATTCTCTAACGCTGGCTTCATGTATTCCAAAATTCCATTCAGGCGGCTGAACAAAGAACAACACAGCACAGGAACCTTTGGACCTCCATGCCTGCGCCAACACATTTCGCCCTTCCATACTAAAACTGTCTTCACTTACAGGATCCATATCCCTCTCTTCCCTTTTTATTTACGTATTCATCCAGGTGCTTCTTTAATGCTGCTACTGTGCCTGCTTCCACCACCACCTCTGGCAGCGCATTCCAGGCACTCACCACCCTGTGTGTGAAAAACCTGCCTCGCACATCTAGAAATGGTGCTGTGTTTTCAGCTGCCTAGACCCTAAATTCAGTAATTCTCCAAGCTGTCTCCACCATTTTTCTCTTGTTTAAGACACCCCTTTAAGCCAATGGTTTTTACCAAACTTTTAATAATCTGATCTAATGCTTATGTAGTCCAGTATCAAATTTTGTCCATATACTCCTTTGTGTGTTTAATTAAAGGGATCATTTATATGTATGCCATGACTGCAGTACGTGCATCACTCCCGAGATAAAAGCCAACACTTTATTAGCCTTTTACAGGTTTCTCCATTTGGACTCCAGAACCTCACTGCTCCCACACAGTTCCAAGCACCCCATCATTTAGTAAAGAGTTTAATTGATCTTGTTCTGATCCACAGTGCATGACATCACAATTTCCCCACAATGAAGTCCACCTGCCAGTCTGTTCTCATTCTATCAATGCCACATGGCAAATTTCTGCTCCCATCTACAAAAGTTATAATGCTACATAGCTTGATATCTTTAGTGAAAACAGATATTGTATTCTCCAATCCTTCATCTAGTCCCATATACATTGTGAACAGGGGCACAAATACAAATCCTTGTGAGGCACCAATATCCCTGACAATTTGAGTGCATACCGATCATTTCAAAAAATTCAACCATGTATGTTAGACATTATTTAGCCTTTACGATACTAAGGTGGGTCGAGTTGTGGATAGTGCAGAGGGCTGTTCTAGGTTACAAAGGGACATTGATAGGATGCAGAGCTAGGCTGAGAAGTGGCACATGGAGTTTAACCCTGAAAAGTGTGAGGTGATTCATTTTGGCAGGACAAATTTGAAAGCAGAATACAGGGTTAAATATTCTTGGCGGTGTGGAGGAGCAGAGGCATCTTGGGGTTCATGTCCACAGTTCCCTGAAAGCTGCCACCCACGTGGATAGAGTTGTTAAGAAGGTGTATGGTGTGTTAGCTTTCATTAATAGAGGGATTGAGTTCAAGAGCTGTGAAGTTATGCTCCAGCTATACAAAAGCCTGGTTCGGCAACATCTGGAGTATTGTGTCCAGTTCTGGTCGCCTCGTTACAGAAAAGATGTGGAAGCGTTGAAAAAGGTGCAGAGGAGATTTACTAGGATATTGCCTGGAATGGAAGGAAGGTCTTACGAGGAAAGGTTGAGAGAACTAGGGCTTTTCTCTTTAGAATGACGAAGGATGAGAGGTGACTTGATAGAGGTGTACAAAATGATCAGAGGTATAGATAGAGTGGACAGCCAGAGACTTTTTCCTAGGGTGGAGGTAGCTATTACAAGGGGTCATAGTTTTAAAGTGAGTGGAGGTAGATATAGAGGAGATGTCTGAGGTAGGTTCTTTACTCAGAGAGAGGGTGGTAGGGGCGTGGAATGCATTGCCAGAGAGGGTAGTGGAGTCGGCCTCATTAGGGGCATTTAAGCGGTTATTAGATAGGCATATGGATGATAGTATAAGGTAGGGGTGGAGGTTAGATAGACCTTAGGTTTAGGGTAAAAGTTCGGCACAACGTCGTGGGCCGAAGGGCCTGTACTGTGCTGTACTGTTCCATGTTCTATGTTTACAAATTATTACTGGCTCCCTCTGATCAGCACTAATGGATTCCTTACAACTGATGCTGATTTTCTGGTATAACTCCCCTGCCCTGCATAATACTTGGATTCATAAATTTTATGCTATGTAGATTAATTTAAGCGCAAGTTTATTTGTTATTTTATGAAGAAAATTTCGTTAAACACAGAAAAAAATGCTTCTTTGTGCACAGAAAATGCCATCTTTGACATTCTTCAAAATGGCAGTTGGGGACAGAAATTAGTTAAACGTAGAATAATTGCCTCAATGAAATAGCATGGGGCATGGAGAAAGATAAAGAACTCAGGGTAAAACGTAAGGTCACAACTACATTTTGATTGATCATTACTTTCTGGCAGTCTAACCGCAATGTCTGGTAGACAATTTCCTATACTGCAGTTTGGCATCATAACTTCCATAATCATATCATCAAAAGCTGTCAACTGTTTATCCATAATTGGCAACAGAAAATCTAGTGATTCAGACCTATACACTTGGAAATAATCCAAAATATGGCTCTGTTCTAAACTGATTACATCTGTTAAGGTAATCAGGCTATAAGCCTAACAAGATTACTTCAACGGCTTATGTAACATGCTCTTTGAGAATACCAGAAACTTTGAGAAATTTCAGTCTGCTACAAAAGTTTTCAAGTATAATCTCAGGAAACTATAAATTGCATAATGAAACTCTACCAAAGTTGACAAATAAAACACTATATTAATAGTTGTGTGTTATATTTTCCAATTATTTTCAGTTTTATTTCATGGGAATAATGTCATAGAATTGTGGCAGTTAAAAATCTCTGGTGAGCATCTATCTTTCAGAAATTCAGTCAACACAATTCATGTTATCTGAAGTCAAACAAATGGCACAAATGAAGCCCAATCTAGAATACTGGGATAAAGTAATAAATGCACTACTGTGTTGCTAATAGGAAAGCATTGAAATCACTATGTACATCGCTTCATTTACAGTTTAAAAACTCATCACTCTGTTGCACAGAAGTCTGCATTTATTGCAGTCTTTCAATTAAGTGGATGAAATTTTAAATGAACTCTGCCAAGTTTGTCATTTCATTGGCAATACAGATAACGCTCTGGTATACTTAGCTTTTAGCAGAATTAGGGAAAGGAGAAAGCCTGCTGTGATCATATATGCATGAACATTCTGTAATGGCTTAAAGATCATTCACTCAACTAGGTGAAGTTTTCTAAACAGTCCATCATAACACTGCTGTGCCAAATAATATTTCATGTATTTACTGCTCCTACAACGAAAATACCAGAATAAAATTTGTAAAGATTGAATCCAGTTTGGATTTGTAGACAATTTGCACCTCTGCCATCCAAGTTTGACTCTAACCCTGAGTAAAGGAATAAAATCATCATTCCTCTCTGCTCTTCTATCAGATAGGAGTTTGATAATTCTCAATCCTCTTCACAATGGCAAATAACCAAAATGTGAAAACAATGTAATTCTACATGCTGTATAAAGTAGTCACTTTAAATATAGTAATAATTAGCTAGAAACTAGAAATGGTATTTTTATTGTAGAGTTTCACTAATTCAACAGAGAGAACACTAGAAATACACATTAAGTCAATTTAATCAAGAAAGTAAAATGATTAAAGTACACTTACGTGCCGCAGCAGTGCTTCCTCTCCAAGTGCTCTGACAAGCCCTTTGGTATCCATCTGCCCAAGTCTTAAGATATACAAGGGTCTCCCATCTGTAAGAACAAAACAACATTAAACTGTTTTGCCAGTCTCAACTATAATGTACAAAATACCAAATTAGAAATTAATCTCCCTGAAGAGGTTTAAGGATTCTAGTCCTAACAGTATCCAATTGAGACACTCAGCACTCATATTATAATGAAACTTTCAAGATCCTCCACAATTTTGATCTCTCAATCTCTAATCTCCTGCAACCCAAAACCTCCAAGATCTCTGCACTCTACTAATTTTTACTCTCTTGAGCATTCCCGATTTTAATTGCTCCATGGTGACCATGCCTTCAGCTGCCAACATTCTTCGAGAATTTTCTCCTTGAATTTCAGTGCCCGTCTATCCTATTTCCTTCTTTAAGCCATTCCTTTAAACCTCTCTCTTTGACCATCTGCTCTAATATCACCTATGTGGCTCAGTGACAATATTTTATAATGCTCAAGTTAGACCACTTTTTCCAATTTTCCAGCCAATGCTGGAAGTGAGCATTCCAAATCACTTCAAGTGGGAGAAGTGCTGAACACCCACCACTCGCATCCCCATTTAAATGTAGAGTATGACAAACATGCATTTCCAGCAGTGAGCTCAGCTTAGTCCCCATAACCTCAGTGGAAAATAGTCCACAATAACTCGAAATATCAACATAACCAGCTACGCTGTACTCCCTTTGACAGAAGAAACATGGAAGCTAAGTTAGACAAGCAGAAAGTTTAATGCCTAAACTTAGCCCAGAAAGGGACTAGTTCTTGCACAAGCATATGATGATTTCCTAAAAAACTGAAACAATTAACTTTGTATCAAAATATGCAAGTTACAGTCATTCCTCTGTATACATGAGGGTTCCATTTCTGAGAACCCCCTGTGAATGATGAAACTTGAGAGCGTGGAACCCATTGAAAATACAGGTTAAAAATCATGGATATACTAGTTTACCCGCGGATGATGAATTTTGTTGCTACTTACTTGTTGGTGCAGTTAGGTGAATTCGCAAGTCGTGAACTTGCGCATACAGAGGATATACTGAAACTAAATATTAACAAAGTACACGCACAAACCTCACTTTAGATTGTATTTCAATCATTAGAAAGCTTCAATAATGATTCAAGGCTGAAACTAGCCACTTAAAAGTAACACTTCAACACTGATTAAGAAACATAATGCTATCATTAAGTTTCTAGATGCTGAATATAGTCTAGTTCTGTTTAGGGAAATAAAATTTATAAAATACTATCACACTGTTGATGAAAGTATCACATTGTATATACAGTAAATCTGGCATACCTTTGTCGTGGTGATGCCATCCTCCGGTGTAATAATCATGCAGCACTTGAGGTGGTGTCCAAGTTTCCAAGAGGTAGTCTACTTTGTGTTGTTTGCGCCACGTCAAAGACTGGCACAGAAGCTCCCTTGCTTTATCCATATTGAAGTCACGTGCTCTTAAGAACCGTAGGATGTGCTCATCTTTGGGGATCTGTCAACATGATAACTAAATTTACTCAAATGAAAGAAGGAAGCAATTTTTTGATTGTCTGAATGTAATCAACACCTCCCTTATCGATGTTTCCTTGATCAGACTTTTATCCAAGTACCACAGCTCCATAACCAAATCTCACAGTTAAAATCGTAGTCTCCTGACTGCATTATAAATATTGAATTTCATAAAATACAATTAATAAAATTTTAAAATGGTTCCAAATGCAACATGATTAGTAAAAGTCACATTTATCAGTGCAAGTAAAATAATGAATTGTCACATTGCATTATTCACAAAACAAAAATTTAAAAAAAAAGGCATGATACAGGGCAAAGAGACAGTGACACCATTGAGCAGGTGAGAAGTCAAGGGGAGCCACTGCTACTTCACATTCAACACATATTGTTCTGTAAAACATTCCTCAATGGGACCTCCTTATATTGCGCCACCCACTCCATTCTTCTCACCTTTTGAATTTTTGACTTATTCAGATTGTTTTGGATTTTTCTCCTGCATTTACAGGTGGAAATTTTGGTAAAATAATTGAAGTTTTTCATACGGAAGCTGGGAAATATCATAATCGTGACAGATTGTGCTAATGAGATCATAAAAAGCATCCAGTAGCATTCAGCACTCTGGCATTTCAACTCATTATACACAAAGAACTTTGATCCAAGGTCCAGTTCAAAGAACCAAGCTCTACGAATGTAAACTAAATCTCCCTGAAAGGGACAAGCTTGTGTATAAAAAAAATTATTATAATTATTGGAAGGAGAAAAAGCACTTGTGTTTTTATAATACTTTCTCTGTTTCAAGTATTTCCACAAGGATCCTATTGTTGGTTACTTTTGAGAAGTAGTCACGTTTTCTGATAAGCTCAGTTCAGGATAAACAAAAATCAGTTATCAAGCTGTGTGCATTATCAATATTTGACAAGAAAACCTGGTTACATTTACTCTCTCTTTAAAACTTAAATTAGTAATCAAATAAATTTCCTATAAAATTTCAAAAATCTACCATTTTGATATATAAAACCCAAGTTTCTATTTTATTATGTTATCTGCACAGAATATTGTCATGTTTATCCTAACACAAAAACAACTAAAACATTTGACCTACTGTGCACTGAAAAGATAAAGTTCCCTGATAACAAACAGAATTACAGAAAGGTTACACCACAGGAGGATAATATTCAGCTAGTCACATCTGCACTGGCTCTCCAGAGAAGCATTAAGTCTAATTACATTTCCCTGCCTTTTTGCCATAGCCTTGCACATTCTTTCTCAAATAATAATCCACCTCCCTCATGAATACCTTGATTGAATCTGCTTCCTCCACACCAGACAATGCATGTCAGATCCTAACTACTTGATACATGAAAAGACTTTTTTTGCATGTCGCCATTGCTTCTTTCACCAATTATCTTGATCTTCCATACTGTCTTTCTTAATCTTCCCACCAATGGAAGCTTTGCCTATCTAAATGGTCATGATTCCCTTGTGATTTTAAATTTCTATCAAATTTCTCTCAACTTTCCCTGACCAAGGAAGAGTCCCAACTTCCCCAACATGGAACACAAGTTCCTCAACCGAGGAATGATTCGCATGGGTCATTTCTGCACTTCTAATCCCTTCGCTGTGTTCAGCCATGACCTGTTGGTAGTTCACCCGAGTCAGAAGACAGTGGTTTCAAGTCTCACACAAGGATTTGAGCACAAGGATCAAAGCTCATACTTCAGTGTGGTGCTGAGGGTGTGCTGCATTCTCAGACGTGTTTGTTTTTCAAATGGAACATTAAATCAAAGTTCAGTCTGGCTACTTAGATAGAAGTAAAAGATTCCGTGGCACTATTTTGAAGGGAAAGTAGGAGTTATCTCTAGTGCCTTGGCCAATATCTATCAAGTAATGAACAAACTGAGGTAAAGTAATTTGTGCCCTTGCTATTTCAGCAGATCATTAAATCTACTATATTCTTACCTTGCCTTTATGTGCTTCCTGAAGCCGCGTTCGAAGTCGAATGAGACAGCTTTCCTGCAGTGGTGTTAAGTCACCCAAATAACGCTCGATATAATCAGCATCTAGTTTATCTATAAGAACAATAAAAGTGTGAAATGATACATCCATTTATTATTTTCATTCGCCTGGAAGTCCATTACACAGTTAACTACCAAAAATCTATTTCAGATTGATAGAAAGACAATGTTACTTTCTGAATACTTTACAACAGCTTTTTTATATCCAGGCTAACAAGAACATCTACTTCAAGGGCATTACAAAAAAATGCATATTTCTCAACTTAGCTTTAAATTTTCATAGAAAAAGGAACCTTTTTTCCCCCAAGAACCCAAATGCAATAAAATTAGATTAAAACATAGTTTCAGACTGTGCGACAATTCCATAAACATCAATAAATAAAGGTACAATTTTACAGTTAAAACACTGAGATCCTAAATTATTCACCTTCAGGTGTTCCTGAGACAGAATCAGGTGAATTATTGGAACCGGCAATCAAGTCTTTGTTAACGTGTTCTTCCTTTACAACTGCATCACCTCGGCCAGGTATGGCCACAGCTGGAGAGGAGGTCAATTTCTGCACAGAAACCGTCTTTTCGACATTAGTATTTACTGTTGGTGTCCACCGTGGTACGTAAGTTATTCCTTCTTCCTCTAGCTGTTTTAGGTAGTATTCAATTATTTCTTTCCCCTTTAAAAACAACAAAAATATAATTCATAGCAGTTGAAATATTAAAATATCACATACAACAGTTAAACATTTTTGCATTGTGGAATCTAAGTCAGTTTGAGTAGAACTTAGCGAATCTGCAATAATAGAAGGTATATGAAGACCGTATCATCAGTTATTGATACCAATATTTTTCTCCACTATTTCATTGATGTAAGTATAATTAGAGATTCGGTCCTTTGAGAAGGCCTTTCTGGATAAGTATTTCAGAGACAGAACCATTTTGAAATCTTAAAAACCGAAGGGCTCCTATTTCTTAGGGTTCTTTGTATGTCATACATCCAGATCATGGCTGATCTTCTGCCTAAACTTCCTCTTCCCAATATCCTTAAATTTCTTTAGTATAACAACATCTATAAGCATCTGTCTTGAATATACTCAATGAATGAATACACACATTTTGTGGTTCCGGGTATTCCAAAGATTCACAACTCTGAGGAAATGATTGTCTCATCTCCATCGTAACTAGTCAACGCCTCACTCTGACACCGTAATCCCGTGTGCTAGATTCTATGCACTTTGTCAAGCCCCTCATCTCAAAAAGCAGTTGAGTACAAACCTTCTCTGCATTTCCCATCGCTGACCTTCCCATCTAACCATACATCAGCAGCGAACCTGGATACATTACATTCCATGTCTTTATTTAAATCATTGATATAGATTACAAACACTGAAATCTAAGTATTGATCCTTGTTGAATCCTACTTGTTGAGGCCAACCTGAGAATGTACCATTTATTCAAACTCCTGTTTTCTGTTCTCAATCAATACTAATACATTACGCTTAATCCCACAATACCTAATTTTGTGTTAATCTCTTTTGAAAATCTGAATACACAAGTCACTGGCTCCTTCTTATTCAACCTACTAGTTACAGCAAAAAAATCTGTCAGCAGTTTTGTCAAAGGTGATCTTGATGTCTATGGCTATCATAATGGTCAAAGTTGTATTTTGTTTTCCTGTCCTTTAAGACAGCTTACCAATTGATTAATACATGATCGTAAAGAAAAATCATTCACAGGAACATGTCAGTCACTTGACAATACAATTCTCGAAAATCTCTCAGTAGGAGCTATGAGCCAAGAATATCAGCAGCAGGCTATTCTTTCCACCTTTTTGTGGCAATTCAAGGAGCTCTGGTGACACAAGTTGCTACAGGTGAGCAGGGTAATTGTGAAAAGGGGATTACCAATATGCATTTTAAAGTGACTGCAACAGAACAGTCTCACATTTCCGAAATATGGTTCTGACATAGAACACCAAATTTAAAATCAAATTAGAATAAGGATTGCCAACAGCAATTATAAATCATCAACTGTACATGAGCCATGCACTAAAGCTTATTTTTTAAATTAAATCAACAGTATTTGCAATCATCACATTAGTAGAATATATATATAAATTCTATTAGTTTTTCAAAGTTAACAAAGTTAAAGATCGATTACACCCACAGAACTCATCAAATACTAAATGAGGTGAAGATAGATTCCATAGATGTCTCAGCAAACACTCCAAGACATTAGTGACCTTGTGGATTGTGAAATCTCATTCAAATCTCATTTATAAGGAATAGCAATTCCTCGCTGTTTGAATGAGTAATTGATCAGGGATACGTTCTGGGCCATACAATGGGCCTCATATCACTGAAGGGTGGTGGTGGCGGGTTGCTTTTAAGACTCAGTGCTGTGACCAGCGGTGTACCCAAGGATCGGTGCTGGTCCATTGCTTTTTGTCAGCTATTTATACAATTTGGACATAAACATAGGAGGTATGATTACTAAGTTTGTAGATGACACTAAAATTGGAGATGTAGTGGACAGTGAAGAAGGTTAACTCAGAGTACAATGTAATCATGATCAGATGGGCCAATGGGCCAAGAAATGGCAGATGGAGTTTAATTTAGACAAATGTGAGGTGCTGCATTTTGTAAAGAAAAATCAGGGCAGGACTTATACACTTAACAGCAAGTTCCGGGGGGAGCGTTGCTGAACAAAGAGACCTTGGAGTGCAGGTTCATAGTTCCTTAAATATGGAGTCACATGTAGATAGGATAGCGAAGGCGGCGTTTGGTACGCTTGCCTTTATTGGTCAGTACATTGAGTTTAGTAGTTGGGAGGTCATGTTACGGCTTTATATGGCATTGATTTTGGAGAATTGTGTTCAATTCTGGTCTCCCTCCTAGATAGAGGATGTTGTGAAACTAGAAAGGGTCGAGAAAAGAGTTATACGGATGTTGCTAGGGTTAGAGGGTTTGAGCTACAGGGTTTTCCTTGGAATATCGGAGGCTTGTTAGAGGTTTACAAGTCATGAGGGGCATGGTCTATTCTCTGGAATGGGTGATCCAAAACTAGAGGACACAGGTTTAAGTTGAGAGGGGAATGATATAAAAGGGACCTAAGGGGCATTTTTATCACACAGAGGCTGGTGCGTGTATGGTATGAGCTGCTGGAGGAAGTGGTGGACGCGGGTATGATTACAAATTTAAAAGGCATCTAGATATGTATACGAATAGGAAGCGTTTAGATGGATATGAGCCAAATGCTGGCAAATGGGACGAGATTTATGTAGGATATCTGCTCAGCATGGACAAGTTGGATGGAAAGGTCTGTTTCCACGCTGTATATCTCTATGACTTTGACTCTAATACACAGACATTTCACTGAACCTTATTGAAAATTACCATAAAGCTAAATAATCTTTATACAATAAACAGCCTTGCTTTTAGGTATTTTCTTCTCGACTAGGTACCTCCTGCATTGTGAATATTGACACAGTACTTCTAGTCAACGCAAACATCACTACAGCCAGAAAGACAAAGGAGAATCTGTCTGAAGGATCTACTTGAAATACCAAAATACCATTTATTAACATACCTTTTTGATGCTGCTGGCATACTGTTTCATTGCTATTTTTTCAACAGTGCTTTCAAATCCAAAAAACGACTTGATATCAAGACTTGCTGACTGCTCAAAGCAGGTCCAATCTTCATTTTCTTGGTGAACCTGACAATGAGCACATAAAATAAGACACATCAGGAACAACTTGGAATTTTAACAGTTCTTTTCATCTCAAAATATAGAAGGTCCACAAGAGACAGTGCAATGTTGACGTAATTCTGGGTAACGAAGCCAGACTGGTGTTTGATGTGGCTGTGGGACAGCATGTTAGTGATGATGACGTATATTTTAAGCTTGTTGTGAAAAATGAAGAGGATGGCCTACAAAAAGAGCTTTGGCTTGGTGGAAGGCAGATTTTATTAAAATAAGGCAGGATCTAGCCAATTTAGACTGGGAATGGCTACTTCTGGTAAATCAACAGCAAAACAATGGTGGGGGACATTCAAAATGAAAATGGTGACAGGCCAGGGCCCACATGTTCTCTTTAGGGTGCCAAGTATGAGCAACATGTCCACAGAAAAATAGATATCTAGGAATATTCAGGACTGGCTAAGGAGGAAAATTAGCCAAGTAAAGAAATGTGCAGGGGAGTGAACTTAAAAAAAGCAACTAAGAGAGCAAAGAGGAGGCATGAAAAAAATTGGTGGCCATGATTAGGGAGAATCCTAAGATATGCCATAAGTATATCAAGGGGGAGAGCATAACCAGGAAAAGAGTAGGGCCGATTAGAGACCAATTTGTGTATGGAGCTGGGGAACACTGGTAGGATGTTAAACAAATACTTTGGAGGAGGAGGAGGAAGGTACAGAACTCTGGAAGAGGAACTGTGAGGTTCTTGAACAATTTTATCGTATAGAGTAAGGAGGTATTGGAGGTTTTGGTCAGCTTTTAAGTGGACAAACCCTTGGGTCCAGATGAGCTCTATCCAAGGTTGTTGAAAGAGATCAAGGAGAAACTTTACAGAGGCTCTGACCCAATTTTTTAGTACTTTTCTGGCACACGGGAAATAACAGAGGACTGGAGGGCAGCTAGCCTGGTTCAACTTTTCAAAAAGGGTGTCCCTGAGATAAACCAGGGAAGTACAGACCAGTGAGTTTCATCTCAGTGGTACGAAAACTATTTAAAAAACTCTTAAGAATTAATCCCCACTTGGACAGGCAAGGTTTGATTAGAGATAGTCAGCATGGCTTTTGTCAGGAAGAAGATCAAGCCTGGCAAATTTGATTGAACTTTCCAAGGCAGTGACCAGAAATATAGATGACGGTAGTGCAGTTTACATGGATTCCAGCAGAGCCTTTGACGAGGCCCCACACGGGAGACTGATAAAGAAGGCAAAAGCATATGGGATCTACGGTAATTTGACAAGTTGGATCCAAAACTGGCTTAGTGAAGGAGACAGAAGTGGGAGTAGAAGCTGATGTCCAGTGGCAATGCCAAAGACATCATGGAAAACTTTTTTTCCACCCAGAGGATAACTGGAATGCAGTGCCTGGGAGGATAGTTCTGAGGCAAGAAACTCATAACCTAGGTCCCCTAGTATTCATAATCTATATAAAGAATATGGATAATGCTGCGGTGGTGGTGGAAAGGTGAGGGAGATAAGTAAGTTTGTGGGTGACACAAACATTGGCCATGTGGTTGGCAGTTAGGAAGAAAGTCTTTGGTTACAAGAGGAAATAGACAGATCAGTCAGATGAGCAGATCAGTGGAGGATGGAATTTCAACCTGATAAGCACAAGATGTAGTACTTTGGAAGAAATAACAGAACAAGGAAGTACTCAATAAATGGCAGGATACTAGGAAGCTCACAGGAACACAGGCATCTTGAGGTGCTTGTCCAGACATCCTTGAAGCTGGCAGGACAGGTTAATAGGGTAGTTAAAGAAAGTATATCAGTCACCTGTCCTTATCAATTGTGGCATAGGTTATAACAGCAGGGAGGGTATGTTGGAGTTTTACAGGACTTTGGATATGCCACAACTGGAGTACTGTGTGCAGTTCTGGTCACCATGCTATCAGAAGGATGTGATTGCACTGGAGCAGGAATAGAGGAGATTCACCAGGATGTTGCCTACGATACAGCAGGTTAGCCATGAAGACAGGCTGGATAAGATCAGTTTGTTTTCTTTAGGAGCAGGGAAGGTTGATACAGGACTTGACTGAGGTGTATAACATTATAAAGGCATGGGTTTCATGGATAGAAAGCAGTAATTCCCTTAGTTAAAGGTCAATAACAATGAAAGCCAGGTAGTTTAAGTGGTGATTTGAAGAAAACATTTTTTTCCACCCAGAGGAAATCTGGAATGCACTGCCTGGGAGGATAGCCCTGAGGCAGGTAACTCATAACCTTTAATAAGTATTTGTATGCGGACTTGAATACTCAAGGTCATGTGTCAAGTGCTGGAAAGTAAAACTTGAGTTGATTTAGAGTTTTCTTTATGTTGGTGCAGATTCGATGGACCAAAGGGTGTTTCGTACAGTAGAATATTATGATTCAGCAATAAGACAAATGTTAAGCTTTGACATTGTTAAAATCAATCCGTATAAAAGTGTTTACTTTAGAGATGTGTGCATTAATATCACAATACAAACATTTCCTCGTTATATATCTGTGATGTTAATACTATTTCAATCTCAGCCTGAAATTAAAAGTTAAAACTGTCTGGAGGAACTAGGTTTCATTTCTCTGGGGCCATCAGCAGCCAAAGAGTTAAATATAGTTCAAAATTTTCACAATTTCACTACCTTTGCAGCACTATACGTTAAAGAAGCATGCAAAATATAACTTAATTATAAAGGAGATTAAAATTTAATATTAAAGGTTAGGGTATTCAAAAAGCCTAATTTGTATATTTACTGTGCTATGAGTCATCATAGGCGAAATCAGTGAAAGGATTAAAATTTGCAAGATGCTCTTCATTCCTTTTCCATATTTCAAATGCATACATTTTCACCTTTCTACCCTTATAGTCTGTTGGTTTCCTTAGCCACAGTGTAAACTGTGTTGTAACGGGGACAACAGTATCTGGCTGTATTCTTACATTTGCTGCGCACTTTGGAATAGATACTGGATGAGCAGCCACAGCACTGGTGCAGAGAATTTGTTCGTGATTTATACATTATGCATTCAGTATTGTAGGTGAAAGTGCTCTGCAAGACTTATAAAGCATGAACATATTTGCTACAGAGCATGAAGGTAACTATAATTTGAACCTGAACACCAACAGCCAGCCTGAACCTCAAGGATAATGGAACTGATAGATCTATACACAAATTGACAAAGTATATAACAGCACTTTTACATGTACTCATGCTATGAAATTTTAGCTCTCCTCCTCAATTCTTCAATTACGCTCTAGTTTCCCTCATTTCAAGAGATAAAGTTTCCGGGAGCCCAGATTTTGGTTACATTAATTACATTCAAAATTTTTGCAACTGATAACATACCGTGTAACAGCAGAATTCATTGATGACCACTCTATTAGCAAATGTTTCATTGTGGGCTTCTATCTTCAATGTCCTTTCCTGCTTATTCAAGGAGTTCTTCTGAATGAAGTAGATGTAATCAACACCTGCAATCTGGATAACATCAAACAGCTTTGTCATATACATCTGTATAATTGTTAAATATAATTACAATATCAAATATCTCATGGTGATGGCAATCAATATTTCATAAATCACAGAGCTTATGAACAAAACTAACTTGGATAACTACATTTGCAATGAAAGCAGTTGTGCATGTTATTTATTTACTCCTCCAGAGATTTCAAACATACAAATAAAACATCAATAATCCTCAAAGCAATCAAGGTCAAGAATAGCTGCAGAAAATGTTAAAAACACTACCAGCAAGCACCAATCTGTAAATATGACTGACTGAGTGGAAATGTTATAAAAAAAACAATGCTACAGCTTTCGTGTAGTACAAGTTTAACGCAACATTTCTCACTAGTAATCATGTAAACTTCAGTTGTTAGAACAAATCCAATATTTAATGACAGAATATCACTTTCAAGTTCTGATAAAGTCAAAATAGATCATGGAATTTAACAACGAATGGATCAATCCAACAGATACACAGAAATTGTCAAAGTTACAAAAACAGTTTATTTGATCCAAACAGAATACTTCAGCATTTACTGTCTATACAGGTTTAATCTCTTTTACCTTTGAATTATTTTCATTATTCCTCGACAGGCTGCCCTATCTAACCTTGGATGTTGACATGGTTGAGGCAGCATTTATTAATTCAAAATGAAGTCTACAGCCTGAGATCACTCTGGGCAAAGAAACAGTCCCATCCAAATCTTTTGCATTTTTTACTGGCACTTTGTCTTGAACCCTCAAATGCTGAAAACAGATGATTGCTTTTCCTCTGCCCTACCCTTTTCTAAATTTTGTATATTTATTTACCCATAGGTCTCCTCTTCAAAGTCTCTGAAATAACCTATCGCAAGATAACATTGATTTCTGAATGAGAAAGTCTATGATAGTCCTTTTCTCCCAACAGCAATGGATGAATGTTCCCTGTACAAAGAAGAGGGAACAGTATAACATATCCAGGACATATCAATTAATTGGAGAATGGCTCAAGCATTCCACATGTCTGAAGCAACTGGACAACTTACTGCTCTACAATGCCTACCCAAGGCACTTGATTTTGGTTAGCTCAAAACTGTAACACTACTTTCTGCCAGCAGATGGTGATGCTTTCAAATAACAATTTGTGCCAACCCTTTGTCAGCTAACACTGATTCTGCTCGAGAAAGGAGGTTTAGAAAAAAAATGGTTTTGCTTAATTAATAACAAAAGTTGGAGAAAATTAGAAGCATTGTAATGCATCAAATAAGAATAAGAGTGGTATAATGTCCACAGCAGCAATATCTTTGTAATTTAGTGCAAGTAAAAAAAATTACAAAAATATTCTGTAGGGCATCAAAAATGAATAAGCTAGGTTACAGATCATAGTTCAACATTTTAAGATACCTTTTTAATGTAGATTTCTCTACATAATAACTTCTCTTTCCAGAATTACTTATTGAACATTTCTTATTTGCACATTTACATTCTTGAACTTATTCAATTGATTGTTTTAGCCATACCTTTTTCAGTAATCTTGGGGCATCTACATCCAGTTTGCACCGCCTTTCTAAAATGTGAATAGCTCCATCCTCACTCTTGTATTCGCTGGTAATGTCACTTCCAACAAACATCGGGATTAACGGGCATGTTGGGAATCGCCTTTCATAAGCCTAGAGACAAGGTAATTATATAAAATTATACATATTGAAATATTTATATTACACAAGTTCCCTGCAAGCTTGAGCAAGTACATCTGCAAGGAACATGAATTCTTCCTATCCTTCAGCAGGGAACTAAAATAAGTAACATTCTTGCAAACTCAAAGAAACTGGATTGAAATATGGAATGTAGCCACGTTTAGAATTCAAGCACTTGTAAATTACCTAGTCATTATGTGCTGATTTACATTATCTTACACTCTTCTTGGTGATGTCTCGCATAACGGCCAAGGCTTAAAGTCCCATTAAAAGGTAAATAATAACTCAAATGTTACAAATTAATATATACATTTTTTTTCTAGCTGAAAAGAAAGGGAATGGCTGCATTAGTGGTTCACTGAGACTATGGTAAACGCCAGTAATTAAACAGAATAATTGAATGATACTGCACAGAAACCAGGCCAGTTGATCCATCATGCCTGGGCTTGGTCTTTTGTATAACCATCCAATTATTCCCCCATCCCTGCTCAGGCACGTTAATCCCATTTTTTTAAAAAGTATTTGTCCGATTCCTTCTGAATATTAAAATCAATCAATCAATCAATCAGTTACCGCAATCCTTTCAGGCAGCACATTCTAGATCACAATAACTTGATGTATAAATGAATGTTCTCATGTCACCTGCATTTTTATTGGGATCTCTGTAAATTTTGGCCTTGTTACTGGTCTCTTAGCAGATCTTCTTTGCCTTATATGCAACTTTGAGTTATAAATTCTATATGCTATTTTAACAGCCTATTCAACTTGTTCTGCCACTTTTGAGATTTGTCTATATACAATTTCCAAAGTCATCTTTGTACTTGATTTAAAATTATAAAATGGTGTCTTTTATTGGTCTGCAAGTCTCAGAACAGCACTATGCTGTGAAATGTCTATTTGGAAATCAGAGAATTCCACTCACCCCATAATTATTATCACTGTTTCACATAACCTGACAGGTCATGGACCATACTATCAGTTCTCTGTAACATATAAGTTCTGATCTCATCAGACATTCTTTCGAAATATTCATAAATTGAATTATTTTACTAAATGAATAATTTGGATAAAAGCAAAATACTGTGGACGCTGAAAATTTGAAGCAAACAGAGAAAGCTGGAGAAACTCAACACTTTTGGCTGCATCTGTGATAGTTTTAAGTCTGGTATGACTTCAGAAACTTTAGAACAACTTGGATGTCTCCATTAGATCTTCTGTTAGACTGAAAGAAAGGCTTGAGCATAATTTCGCCAGGATCTTGATGTCACAGTTAAACAGAGGTCCCAATCCATCCTGTAGCATTGTCTCATCAAGTTTATAAACTGCAAATTTAAAAAATGGCTATAGATGCCAGACTATCATCATATAGGTGCACCAATAGGGAGGCTACAGCCACATGTGTAACCAGGTCCGTCTGAGTGCTCACCTCCATTTAAATTTTTTCAGTTACCTGGTAAGATTTCAGTTGAAGTTTCAGAATCATTAGTCTAAACCTCTGGATTATCAATCTAGTAATGTTACAGCTATGCTACCATACCCAAAATATATTTGAATCTGTAACAACAAAATCTCTTTTGCTACAGAATTTTTACCATAGATTCAGTTGCAAATAAAGTACTCACATATTCATTGTTTATTACACAGAACATCAAGGGTTAATGACAGCTCTCCTCGTTTCCTCAAAAGTACAAAGTTTTTGAGGCAGTGTCAATACATCACTTTTACTTCTAACATTAAAATGCTCTTCATTCACCATTTTGGAAGAGTAAACACAAGTCATTGTGAAAGACATTAATTGTGGATAGCTCTTAACATTAAAAGTTGGGAACATTTCCTACAATGGCAAATCAAGAAAGCGTTACAAATACCATACCCATGGCTCAAAATTAATGTCACAACGGAGTCCCCCAGAGAAGAACAATAATTTTTGGAGCCAGGGTCCAGGCCATGACCCATATAATAACTTATAACGCAACCAATTGTATTCAAAACTTTATGAAATGTGTTTTAATACGACTGTGATTCATGGCATCACCAGTGGCTTTTGACAATCTCCAGCCAAAGCTGAAATTAAATATCTTCATTCACACAGTTGTCACATGAAGACAAGTCAAGAGCAATTACTTTACTATTGCAAGATGCATTTTGAAAATTTAAGGAACAAAGCTCCTCGTGGTTTATTAAAAAAAAGTTTAAACTATTTCCATAATCCCAAAGCCAGATATACTGTTAGATATCTGTTATATTTATATTTGTTATATTCAGAAACTGATGCTAATCATACTAGGTATTCATAAACCCAGTGAGGAACCCTCTGAGAGGAGAGACAACTTCAAAAATTAATTTGGGGAAGGTGATGTACGTGTTACATCATCTTGTGTAAAGATTATGTATTGATGCATTAAAGATAACCTATCATTACTTCAATTAGAAGTGCTACAATGTTCAATAACTATCAGAAATGTTTCTTCCTGATTACAATAACTGTATTATACATACACATATTAAAATGCAGTGGGGGTATAAAAGGTAAAGATAAAGTCTTAGAGATCACAGAAATGCTGTCTCATTAGAGACAGACATATGGTGGGTGTTTTAACCCGAGGGCCACCACATCTCAGGCGAAGGGAGAGGTTGAGGAGAGTACTTCATGCTAACCTCAGCGATGTGGGAATTCATTTAACTCGGTTGGCTGGACGGCTGATTTGCGATGCAGTGTGACGCCAACAGTGTAGGGGCAATTCCTTCGCCAGCTGGAGGTTAACATAAAAGACTCTCCTGAACCTCGGTCCTCTCTTGAAACGTGGTGACCCTCAGGTTAAACTACTACCAATCATCTCTCTCTCGGACAGCAACCCTATGGTTGAGGTAATGCAGAGGCTACTATCTCAGAAACAATAAAAATAAAGCTTTTGGTGTAAGTGCATTGCACAAATTCACCAAAACTCTAATGTAATTATGTCAGAATCTCAGAACAGCTTCTGTATGTAAGCTGGAGTTCTGAGACCTGACTCTTTGTACAAACTGGAGAATCAGCACGGTCCACACTCATAAAAGAGGATTATTTGGGTACAAAACTAGATGATCAAAAGCACTACGCTGTGTCCCAATGTGAATGACCGGGTACAGGTGAAGAACAAAACTGTGAAAGACATTACAGTATTTAAATTAGATACCAGAATTCACATAAACCCTGTCTGACATGCATTCTGATGCTAATGGCAGAATTTCCACAGGCGAAGATCATGAGAAAACTTGACTCTGCATTAGTTGGCATGATTGTTGTTGACTGTAGTAGTAAATCTTTGCTCTGCATGCTTTTGAGCAGTTGGGGGTTTAGGAATTCCTGGAGAATCTTTGACATTGGCAGATCCCTCCTGTTATTACTTTATACAAGCACTGAAAGTTAAGGCAAATTAACTTGATATGACTGCAATACACCAGATATTTATTTCGTTTTAAAAGTGAGGTTCAATATGGGGTACAATTTCACAGATGAACAGATCTCGTGATAAGGCACAATTATTGACAGATCTTGGAAGTCACTCTCCATTACTCATGGATTTCCAGTAATTTTGAAGGGTATTCTATACTTATTGACACCTGTCTACACAAAATTCTTTGCAAACATTGTAGGCATAAGGCTGTGATGTGTAAAATGTAGATTTCAGTTATCAGCTTATTTAACTAAAATCATTGGTGAAACCTGTCAGAATACTTTTGTCCAATTACATTAATTGCAAATTAACAACCTACATTAAAGATCTAAAAGGCATAATTTAATTGAAGCACTGTACTCTCACCAATGTCCCTTTTCTAGTAATTAAAGTTTTCCTGAATTAGATTATTCAATATAACCTCAATAAACCCCAATAAACGCTGGAATAATGCCATTTTGAATAATGGCTTTCATTTAGCTCATTCTGGTCCCACTGACTGACATCTATCAATACTGCATCACTTCTGAAATGATCCATCAACACTCCATCAAACAATGAATTCAAAAATCAACAATGAAAAGTACTTTTGTTCAACTGTTACAAAGAAATGAGCCTCAAAATTAATTTTTCATAAAACTACTATACTGTCAGCAAAAAATGTCTGCCTCAGTAAGGCTTCTTACTCAGACAGGTGTACAGATTACTCAGACAGGTGTACAAATGTTTAATCATTCTGTTACTGTTGCACCAACAGCATGAAGAAAGCCAATGCAGCCTTTTAAAAATTATCCTAACTTTACAGTCATACATATTTTCTACATCCATAGAAATGGGTTCCTGTAGAATTAGTCCAAATAATGGTAATTCTGAACTCAGCACTGCAATTTAAATATTTTATTAGGATCGCATTACCCATGGTCAGGAGCAGGGGCAATAATTGCTTTCATTAGGAGTTTTCAAACAACTGAGAGGATTCATTAAAAATCTGGTCATTTTAAATCCATTTTTAGTATGAGTTGGCCTCCAACATGATGTTTTACCTGATGCGGCAATGCTCAAGTTATCTCCTGTAACATATGCATCTGGTTATGGATAGCATGATATTGAAAAATCCAAAAGACATTCACTACAACCATTATGTACATGCCTTACATGCTTTAGCTTAATAGCCCATACATCTCATGTCTATTATGTTATACCATTCTCCAGTAGTGTTACGTTTCAAGTGATCCAAGGCAAGACGGAGTCCAAGAACTTTACATCCTCAGTCACGTGCTACGATACAGTGATGATACCATGAGATGTCTCTTAAAGGGATATTGACCAGGAGACATAAAACAAAAAGTTTCCATAATGTTGACTAAATAGCAAATATCCTGGAATGCTACATATTAGAAACATAGAAACTAGGAGGAGTATGCCATTCAGCCTTTTGAGCATGCTCCGCCATCCAATATAATCATGGCTGATCCTCTATCTGAATTATATATTCCGATGCCCTCAATATCTTAAAAAAACTTTCCTGAA